GGTGAGACACAAAGATGACCAAATCCCAGGTTGCTGGCCTTGGCTACAGGGGTAGGGATAGGTGATGTTATCACCAGTAACAGAGAATAAGCTAGCAAGGAAAACTTTGGGGAGAAACAGATCACATCTACACTACTGCTGTTCATTTGACTTAACCAATCACTACTTAGCATGCATTTGTAAAGTACAAGGCTGGACTCTCCCTGTCACCCCGCTCCAGGTTTTTTCTAGAAAAAAAACTTTACCCTACAGCTAAAACCAAAAAGAGTTTGTTCCAGGACACAAACATTTGGTAGCTGCCCATAATGGCTATTGACAAGCATGTTAAATGCCAACCAGTTAACTTGAGCTAAAAGTTCTAGTGTAAACACACTTTTAAAAGTTCACCTTAAGCTAAGAGCAATGTCCCCAAGAGGCAATGTCAGGGAGAAAGACTCAGCTGTGGGACTGGGTGAAGCAATATATTTGGCAGTCAGTAGAAGCAACACCATGTGGAATGATCACTCAAGGATAAGATGGAGAAGGAAAAACTACTGTTTTAGTGAAAATCTAAATTTCTTATAATTATATTTATGTAGAATACTGTCAAAGTATAATAATACCCCTTGACTGTTTTGATTACTTTCTAGTAAAAATATTCAGAAGCAAAGCAAGAATCTGAACAGTTTCAGTTTGGATGCTTCTCTATTTTACATCACTCACTGAAATAAAAACTCCAAAATAGAAGATTTTTATTTTTTGATTACAGAAAAAAGGTGTCTAAGTATCATGGGAATGTAGATGGTTCAGTGAATGCAACTGAAAGTGTTCGGTACAGAAATGTTCAGTATAGTAAATTTTGAACGTGGCTATTATTCACCTCTAAAACAGAAGTTTAATCTCTAATTAGACTATCATTGACCATCCCTTCTTGCTAGTAGATAGTGATCTACCTGAAGGGAATGGGCAGACATAAACTAATAATTGAGATCTTAAAAGAAAGAAAGAAATCAGCACCAGAGCTGGCAGTTTGTGTTGGTATCTTAAACTACTGAAGGCTGGGGCGATATTTCATCATTTTGGATTAACATGAGCTTTCACATTTTTGGAAGTAGAGGAAAGAGGGGAAAAAGTGGGGTGGAGGGGCATTGTTCTTGGGTTTTAGTAAATACACTAAGTTTAGAGAATTTGGATGGGTTAAATTCAGGTAAGAAAAAGAAGGGGCAATTAAGCATTTTAGGATTTCTAAATGTTATGCAAAATGAAATTTTGCCTCTTCACTACCTTTGGCAGATGGAAGGTAATAACCAACTTAACACATTTAGAAGCTGTGCACTGGCAGAGATTAACAGAGTAACATAGGAAGTTTTAGCCCCTGTCACCTCAGGCTGTGGATAAAAAGAAGGCAACAATCTCCATTGCTGTTGATAGCCTGTTTCTTTCATGATGACTCAGTCCTTGTACAGTAACACCTACCTAAACTGATTTTATTCTAGCCAACTTACTTGTGCAAATAGGACTACAAGGGTAGCATTGTCAGGGTATTCGATGTGCTTTGAATAAAAGTGATGAAGAGCAGCAATGTCATTCTGAATCAGCTCTCTCTTTTCATTGTCAAGTTTATCAAGGTCTGTGGAAAAAGCAGACAACCTACTGCAGTACAAGAAACAGGTTCCTTGTTAACTACAGCCAAATCCAGGTTAGAACAGGTCAGTACTTGTATGGGAAACACTTACCTCCTGCTCCCCCCACCCTGTCACACACAGAACAGACAGCTGGAAATATTGCAAGCATTTGCATTTCAGTGAGAAGCACTTCTTTCAAGGCCATGTGTAAACTGGGAAACTGTGCCAGATTAGAAAGTAACATCTAACACCATTTCAAAGAGAGAGACTAAACACCAGTAGTGGACAAGGACATTATTGCTGCATGTTACCTTATTAATCCTAAGGACTTTTACAGAGGAAACCCTTCAGCCATCACCCACTCTCCTCAGCTGCCCCCCCCCCCCTAAAAAACCTACAAGTTACGGGTAGAAATGTTTTCAAGGTTGGGGCAT